CCTTTTTACCTTTCTGCAAGTGATTTAAACCCGTTGCTTCGGGTCCTCTCCTCTGCTGCCGACTGGAACAGCTCCTCGCCCTCCTCCCAATGACAGCCTTTCAAAGATTTAAAGAGAGCCATCATGTCCCCCTTTAAATATAGGTTCGGGGGGGGGCAGCCCTTCACTTGGGCAACAGCCCCCTGGAAGAGATCTCCTGGGGCAAATCCCCCGTCCCCACTTGCGGCTTGCTTTCTGCCCTGGGCGGTTAATCCTTGCTGGCTTTCCTCTCCCCTTCCACCAGATGGAAGGACCCTCCTCCTCCGCCCTGCCCTCCAGACAAACCCTAAAAACAACAACCGCGGGATTGTGGAGGAAGCCCCCTGGAAGACAAATGGTGGGAAATTAATTAGGAGGCTGTAGTGTTCCGCTGAGGGGGCTCTGCTAATGGGGCGTGCGGCCCTGGGCTTCATGTTGCCGGTGCTTGGTTTATGGGGCCGCTGGAAGGTCTCGCTCCCCACCGCAGCCTGGAATCCAGCCCTGGAAGCGGGCGCAAATGGCTGAGGAGTGTGCTACTGGGGGTCACGCTTCCCCATTGCCCCCCCCCCGCTCTCTTGCCAAAGATGATCTGCAGCTCTCACACACCAACCCCACCGTCGCGTGGCAGCTCTCTGCCAGTCTCAAATCAGTCAACTGCATGAGGATGGAAATGGGCCTGCTTGTTTGGAGTCTGCTGGAATTGGAGTTGCCAACTTCAGGTTGGGACATTCCTGGAGATTTGGCGGATGGAACCTGGGGGACGGTGGGGTTTGGGGAGGGGCGAGACTTCAGCGGGGTATCATGCCATAGAGTCCACCCTCCAAGGCAGCCTTATTCTCCAGGGGAACTGATCTGCGTTGCCTCTGTTGTAATTCTGGGAGACCTCCAGCCCCCCCCCCCCGAAGTTGGCACACGCAGCCCTCTGTGCAGTGCGGCTCTTTCCAAATGGCAGAAACAGACGTGTGGACTTGGTTTTATTGTGAGCGTCACGAGGAGTGTTTGCTTTCTCTTACGTGCCTGATTCCCTTCGAGAAGGGGGGCAGGTGGGAAAGAGGTAGGGGGTAGATCTAGGTCCATGAATCGTCAGTGTCACCTGGGTCCCTTGCTTTTGCCTGAGGCTTGAATCACCTTCTGGCCTCTACCAAAGCGGTTCA